TAAAATACTTGCTCTTCTCTGTAGTAATATTTTATATCTCCAAAAGCTAGTCAGGCTGCCCCTTCCTCTTGAACTATTTGGCTCATGTAGATTGGAGGAGCACAGTCTGAAAGCTGAACAGGAGAGGATGATAGAAAGTGTGTTTTGGGAACCTATAACCTTTCACCTGTGAGAGAGCTTCCTAAATGCTTCCCCTATGCTGGTAATATTATGTGGGAATGGCACCCCCCACAACAGTGGTTTTCACAACAACAGCCCTTTCACCAATGCCCATTCTCAGCATGGGGAAAGGAATTGGGTGGAGGATGGGTGTTGATGCATTATGACTCCTGCTACTAATCTTATCAATGTGGCCAGAGGGATAACTTATAGCCAGCATGGAACTGAAGGGACAAAGTGGGTAATGGGCTGAGGTGAGGATGCTGATAAGGCAGTGGGCCAACCTAGTTGGAAGGTAAGTGGCTAGTGATGGCCACATCTTCATACACAATCCCACCATCTAGTGGGCATCCTGTGAGAGAATGGGAGATGTTTGCAGAAGGATATCTTTCTCTCTCAGTGGCCCCTGTGTTCTCCAAAAAGCTGCTGCTGAGGAACAGGAGACCCTCCTGCTTACACGAGAGGAGTTGGGGGAATTTCCTCCTCCTTGCTGTATCCTCCATGCACTTGACATCCCCCCCCCCCCAGGTACCTCTCTGTTTTTCAGGGGACATGGGCTGCTAGTGTAAAGGGAAGTCAGGAATGATCTGTTTCTGCTAACTCTTTCTACTCTTAGGAGCTTGGACACACACTTAACTTTAGAAAAACGTATTAAGGGTTTCATTGTCAATATTCTGCTGTAGAGCAGGCTTGTAAACAATGTTGATTGATTGATTTATTAAATTTCTACCCCGCCCTTCCAGCCAAGGCTGGCTCAGGTTAGCTTACAAAACAACATAGCATTTACAAATGCTTTCATAAGATTTTCCTAGGTATAGCTAAAACTTTTAACGTGAGAATCTTTGGCTCTCTTATAATATTACCCAGTGCTCATAATAATTCTACTGGGCTTGGGATCTTTTAAGGGAGGGGGTGTAAAACGCTTTGTGCAAATAGAACTAACAGCATCATCACAGACGCTTCACTGAACTTAATGGGTCTTAAGGTAAAGGTAAAGGTTTCCCTTGCCTGAAAGCCAGTCAAATCTGACTCTAGGGGGGTAGTGCTCATCTCCGTTTCCAAGCCGAAGAGCCAGCGCGCTCTGAAGACTTCTCCGTGGTCATGTGGCCAACTAAACACTGAGGTGCACGGAACACCATTACCTTCCCACCGAAGCAGTGCCTATTTATCTACATGTAATTTCTTGCTTTTGAACTGCTAGGTTGGCTGGAGCTGGGGCCAGAGACGGGAGCTCACTCTGTCACGCAGCACTAGGGTCTTGAACTGCCGAGCTACAGACCTCCCAGTCTGCAGCTTCAGCGTCTGAACTTGTGAACTGCCTTGATTGTGTGTTTATTCACAGAAACACAGCATATGAGTTATATAAACAAGTGTGCCTGGACTGCTGCTTTACTCATTAACATTTCAGTGAGATATTCTGTATTAGTAGTATGACATACTGTATATTGATTATTTTGTTTGATTTATGGTGCACAGTTCTTCAAAATTAGTTAATGGGATTCTTTAATCTGCTTTCTCTTGGGCTGCGTACCCAGGGGAATATTCTGGTGTGTATGCTTTTTCTGTATTTTGGAAATGACCATGTTAAAATTCAGTATTCATGGCTGATGTTCTCATAATGTGTGTGCTTTTTAAAAACAATCTTGCTTGGTATCTTTTATTTTGCCTAATATTTATTTTTTTGTTAAGGATGCCTATAGTTAAAAGTGTAGTGCAAAAACTCCAGTACTCTTTCTGGACAAGGTTTATACAATTTAAAAGGCCAAATCTCAAGTATTCATGGAAGAAAGGGGAGACCCATTTTCTTTATTAGTGGTCAACAACTGTAAGAATTATGCCTTGTATGCCTTGATGTAAGCACATGACTAAGACTTAGCCTTCTGGAAGCACTTTCACTATGTTCCAATTACTGAGTGCAGGATGGAAGGTCAATCCCTTATCTTTAAAACATGCCAAACACATTGTAGGATACAAATACAAGTACTGGCTACTAGTAAGATATACCGTATTTTTCGGACCATAAGACACACCTGACCTTAAGACGCACCTAGTTTTTAAAGGAGGAAAACAGGGAAAAAAATATTCTGAACCTTCGGTCCATAAGACGCACTCACTTTTCCTCCCACTTTTTTTGGAAGAAAAAGTGTGTCTTATGGTCCAAAAAATACGGTAAATAATGTACTGCAGTACCGCTCCTCCAGCACTATGTGAGCCTGGAGTTGGATCCTACCAACTTCTGGGCTGGTGTGTGTGGGGAGGGGTTTTGACACTAAAAAGGCTTAAGCTGGGAATTGTTGGAATCACTTGGACAAACATGCACCGGAGCTCAAGTGAGGAGAAGAATGAAGTGAGATTGCCTCTTTTTCCTTTTGCAACAGCAGAAAAGCTAGTTGGGGTTCCTACCCACCCACACAGTAAGAATGGGATGCACTGTGTTTTTGGAAGTGTGGGGCTGGTGTAAGATTTCAGCAACTGTGGAAATGGCTATATGAAACACTATTAACTTTTGTCAAGATGCCATCATCTCTATATGTGTTAAAGAATATATTTAATAAATCCTGCCCTTCCTTCAGGAAGCTCAGGGTGACACACATGGTTCTCACCATTTGTATTTTATCCTCAAACAACCTTGTGAGTTAGGTTAGATTGAGGGAATGACTGGCCCAAGGTCACCTAGTAAGCTTACTGGCAAGCAACGTTCCCTCTAAGCTATGGGGTCTTGTGAGCAAAAATTCTATTTTGCGAGCCACTGGCATTAAAATTGTGAGCGAACAATTTGGCTGCTGCATAAATTTGTGGGCTCTGGAGCCATCCTTCCTGAGTCAAGACAAAAATGTGTGAGCTGGAGGCTAAAAAACTGTGAGCTAGCTCACACTAACTCAGCTTAGAGTGAACACTGCTGGCAAGTGGTGATTTGAACCTAGTCCAGCACTCTAACCACTGTTCCACACAGGCTGTCTTCACTTTATACCTATAACTCAAAAGGTGAAAAAAATTAACTACATTTAATGACTTCAGAAACAGGGTTCTGTCCTGACCCAGTGACTTTCTTCAGGTCTCTGATGTGCACATGGAGCTTTCTTCCCTGTAAGGACTTTAATGTTCACTTAATACAAGAATAGGTTTCTTGAGCTCTGTTTTTCAGTCTCACCACCCTGTGAACAGGAAAACCCATTTGCTTGAGAGCTCCATATGTGTATAGAAGCAAGTGTGGGAATATAACACAGGACATGTGTCTTGTATTCTAAAGAGATGTATTTATGAAAATCAGTCTAGTTTATTCAGTTCATAAATATATGCTATAAATAGCAAGTCTGTTCCAATTTAATATAGAAGTCTGGGATTAATTTTCCTAGATCTGATGTGGAACTGTCAGGTTCCATAGAGCAGTTGCAGTCCACAGCGATTCATAAGAATAGGTTGCTTTAATACAAGTCACTATTGATACACTTTCATGATCATTGTCAGGAATGAAACTCAAAGCCAAGCATGTACAGATATAGACAGGAAAAAAGGGTTAAGCCAATGAATACAGTTCGCGCTCAGCAGAAATTCGAGCGGGAGAAAACCAAGGCGGGAGATAGCCTTTCAGCCGTTTGGTTCACACCAGCCTATCAACAGTTCTCACAGTCTTACCTACTACAAAGGCAGCAAAAGCATTCCAAGGTCAAAAGAAGAGATAAAGCGCACAGGGAGGATGAGAACAGAGCAATGCAGGCTAATTCCCCCCCATCATACAGCAGGCAGGTTACACAGAGCATACACAGAATACAAATGGCAGTTTACTGACAGGAACCTCTAGTCCTTTATTGGCCCCTGCATTCTAAGAGACATGGAACATGATCCAGATTAAAAGGAAATAATCAAACATGTAGCTTTTATTGCAGTTTTCTAAAAATGTTTCTTTAAATATAATTGTCTTTTGAAGCTCTGAAATATACAGGTATTGATGTATTAACTGTGAATGCCTTCCCCTACACTCAAATAGCAAATACACTTGAATAGCAAAGGTCCATTATTAAGACTTTTGTTTGTAATAAGATTCATTGTGCAGTGTATTCTGCACAAGTCTTGCTGCTTCATTTCAAAAAGAATATTGCAGAGCTGGAAAAGGTACAAGAATGACAGCAAAATAATCAAAGTTTATAAAATTATACATGGTATCAACAGAGTAGATGCAAATAAATGTATTTTGCTATTTCTATTATTTTATTATGTAATCTTAATCAAGTCATATAGGATAAAAATGTATACTGTGTCTCATAATGCTAAATTTGAGTCTGAGGTCACCTATAGAAACTGATGGGCTGCAGGTGCAGGCCAGAGCAAAGAAAATACTACTTCACACAATACGTAGAATTGTTATAAAATGTGGTGTGCCTGCTGGTTTAAATAGCTTTAAAAGGGGATTAGACAGATAGTGGAAGATAGATCTTAGCAGTTAATATGGAATCTCCATATTCAGCAGTGGCATATTAGAATATCAGTTGCTGCGGATAAGCTTAAAGAGGTGGGTTGTATCTTTTATAATCTGTGGACTTCAAGCGACATCTGTCTGGCCACTGTTAGAAATCAGATGCTGGAGTAGATAGACCTGTGATCTGATCGGCAGGGTTCTTACATTTATCTTTTTGACACTACTCTTTTAACTGTTATTCTTCCTACCGCTCTTATTTATAAATAGAACATATTTTGTTTCAAACTTTCCGTGTCATCTTTGCTTTGAAATCTTTCATATCTAACAGATCTCTAGTCTTGTACCACACCTCACCCATACTGTCCTCCTCACATGAAATGTCTTTTCTTCTTTCTGCTCTTCATGGGATGCATGGGCTTTAAAGACCATGATTTTTTTGGTAAGGCTTCATCTCATTTGGGGATCATTTTCAGGGCAAGTTGGATTGTCTTTGAGCTTTACATATTCAGCATGTTTTCTGTGTAATATAAATTACCTAGCTTGAATATCAGAGCATATAACTACAACTATACTAAAAACGTTGGTTGATTTTAACGATTGTAAATTTCAATTTATTTTACTTATCTGGGGAAAATAGTCAATTTTTGTGAGCCAAGACTGATGTGGAAGAGAGGAAGGGTTATATGAGAGATCCAGGGGCAAAACCCCATAAAAGTGAGTACATTCAAACATTAGAAACTTGGACTGAAATATTTTTATTCTTTTGAAGGATGTCAGCTTCCGTACTAAGCATTTTCAAATTCTACTAGCAAAACATATTCCGTTTATTTTTTAAAGATGCTTATCAGTCCATTAATCATGGGATGGGTGCAGGTACTTCAGTATATGAACAGAACTGCACAGACTTCTCTTCCATCTCAGTGGAGAACATGTACACTCATTTGAAATTAATATTGAGTCCTGTTTGTGCAGTATCTCCACACCCTGAACTCTGGATTAAAATGGATAAATCTGATATGAGTCTCAGTGTTTCTCTTTTCTATCTTTGAAAGGAATGGGCCGTGAAGTTGAAAACCTTATTTTAGAAAACACACAGCTGCTGGAAACCAAGTGAGTAGTCCCTTTTCAGCATTTAAACATGGATATACTTCTGCTAACTAGTTTGTTTTGTTTTTAAGCATAAGATTCACTGGAAGAGCTTGTGGATGGCATTGTCAGAGCAGATCTCTCTCTGCATTCTGCTTATTCATGCAGCCTGCCATTTTACCTTAAGTTCCTGTCTCAGGATTGGCAGAGACTTGTAAGTAAAATGTACCACAAGATGGGGGACTGCAGTGACAAGGGGGAATCAGGTAAAATCTCCCCCTGTTCCATCTGCTGCATACATCTGTGGAAGAGAAGGGGGGGCTATTTTACTTGAGATCCCCACATCGTTGCAGGATTCATCCCATAGCTAGTGTTACTTGTGAGCCATTCCTCATCTTCAGAATAATTTCAGGACAAATGACAGACTTCAGGGAAAGATCTCCTCCTTCAGCTCTTTCAGCCAAGCTATGTCTAACCCATGCCCTTGTATGAGGCTGCTGATTCTAAAGGATGCAGTTCCTGTCCCTCAAGAAGTAGCTTGAACCAAAAAGGTTGGAACAAAGAAAAAGAAGGTAAAATATAACCATACAAGTAGTGCAAATGTACAAAACATCCTACATAATTTAAGAATACATTCAGAAGTGCTGAAATATAATTTTAAAACAACAATTCTGTGGTTCAGCATATAAGTACCTAATCCCAATATGCATGCAACGTATTTCAGCACCTGGCCCTCCTCAGTTCAAACTGAGGACTACATTAATGTAACAAAAACATACATAAAACTGATCACACAGATTAAATTAATGCTCAGTTTGAATTATACCACTGAGGAATGCCAGGTACCAAAACGCATTTGGTATTGGTTCTTGCACGTGGAGACAATATGTACTTTTAAAACTGTATTTGTGTAAATGGACATTTGTCTTCAACTTTTTTGGTTACCTTTCTCATGCAGGGTTGTGTTTTTCTCCCCTCTTTTTGGTTGTACTCAGTAACTTCAGAATAATCAGAAGGAGCATTATGATTTGAAGACACATGATATAGCAGCTTTGCTGAAGTAAAATAAAACAGGGTCTGTTCAGTGCCTATGTGGAAACGTTCTGTTAACCCATGTATACAGCCTTGAATCCCATGATGGGTTACAATAATAAATAAAAAAACTTGATTAGGGAACTCTATTACCATTGTGGAAATCACTGGTTTTAAACACATGTTAGATGATTCATGGGAGTAAATTTAACAGTAGCAGAAATGATTAAAAAAATTATTAACTAACCAGTGTAGTTATGAACTGACCCTTCATGTTCAAAAGCTGTGTCTGCCTAATAATCCAAATGTTAGAGACAAAGAGTGGGAGAGAACCTTCATCATGACTTTCTTGTGAGCCTCTCAGAGACCCTATTTAGCTGCTGCTGGAGTGCTGGATTGTTGTTGTTCAGTTGCACAGTCGAGTCCAACTCTTCGCGACCCCATGGACCACATCACGCCAGGCCCTCCTGTCTTTCGTTGTGCTCCGGAGTTTGCTTAATTACATGTTCATTGCCTCGATAACACTGTCTAACCATCTCATCCTTTGCTGTCCCCTTCTTCTTTGACCTTCAATCTTTCCCAGCATCAGGGTCTTCTCCAGTGAGTGCTCCCTTCTCATTTGGTGGCCAAAGTATTTGAGCTTCAGCTTCAGTCTCTGGCCTTCCAGGGAACAGTCAGGGTTGATTTCTTTTAGGATCGACTGGTTTGATCTCCTTGCAGTTCAAGGGACTCTGAAGAATCTTCTCCAGCACCATAATTCAAAAGAATCTATTCTTTGGCGCTTGGCCTTCCTTATAGTCCAACTCTCGCAGTCATACAGTACTACTGGGAATACCATTGCTTTGACCATGCGGACTTTTGTTGGCAGGGTGATGTCTCTACTTTTTATCATGCTGTTTAGGTTTGCCATCGCTTTCCTCCCAAGGAGCAGGCGTCTTTTAATTTCATGGCTGCAGTCACCATCTGCAGTGATCTTGGATCCCAGGAACATGAAGTTTGTCACTGCTTCCACAACTTCTTCTATTTGCCAAGGAGTGATGGGGCCGGATGCCATGATCTTAGTTTTTTGGATGTTGAGTTTCAAGCCAACCTTTGTGCTCTCCTCTTTTACCCTCAGCAAAGAGTCTCTTGAGGTCCTCTTCACTTTCTGCCATTAGAGTGGTACTGTCTGCATATCTGAGGTTGTTGATGTTCTTCCGGCTTCTGAATCATCCAGGCCGGCATTTCGCATGATGTACTCTGCATATAAATTAAATAAGCAAGGGGACAATATACATCGTCGTACTCCTTT